AAAAAAAAAAAAATCTGAGAACTGTTTTTTCTCATCTAAGGAAGTTCAATCAATCAAATGTTATTGCACTTCCATGGCAAGAATTGCATGCATGTAAGCATCTTCATTAAAGTGAATTAGTGTGCATCTCACTCAAGCATAAATCTTTCGTCAACAATAATCTACTAATTTTAAGCATGGTCATAAACATAGAAATGCATGGCATTGCATGTTGCCAATATTTTTGAGAGACCCCCAGGCTAATGCAAATGAATACAATTTGTGTCATGCTGGAAACATATAAACATTTTCTGGTGTTTTTTTTTTTTTTTTTTTTTTTTTTTTTTTTTGATTAAAGCCAATGCAGCTTCTTTCTTCTTCCAAATAAGGAAATTAACCCACTTCTTTTTTGATTATGGTGGGGAGGGGAAATTACATCATGCACAATAATTTGCACTAGTTATAATGACGTTTGAGATTTCTTTAACTTTCATTCTGCCTAGGCAAAACTGAATTACAGATATCTGCAATTGTCATTTAAGGTGTGTGACGAGTTGAATGTCGTTTTCAATGATGTCATTGCAGATATCTGTAATTCAGTTTTGCCTAGTCAAAACTGAATTACAGATATTTCTATCTGTTGTTTCGACTAGTCACAATTACGTTACAGATATCTTGAATGACAATTCCAACTATCCAAAATGTAATTACGACTAGTCAGAAAGAAGTTGTTGATATCTACAATGTTAATTCCGGATAGTCAAACTTAGCTTTTAAATGTTAAAAGGGCTTGCCATACAAAATGGCATTGTAGATATCTCAAACTGGAGTTAGGGATAGTCATAATTTAATTGTAGATATCTATTATCAAGTTATAGATATCTTAAAATGAATTTTGATTAGAGATTTCTGAAATTTGAGATATCTGTAACTTTCATTCTGCCTAGTCAAAATGTAATTACAGATATCTTGAATTAGAGTTTTGACTAGGCGAAATGACGTTGCAGATATCTGTATGCAAATTAGGCTCGGCCGCATCCCACTTTAGGCGGGAGCAGAGCGTGTTGTTGTTCAAATCATCAAATCACATAGCACCTGTTAACTGTTCACTTTTAATTAGCACCATGTCGAGGGTGAAGGAGTTTTTAATCGTCTTTTTAATGCTGTTAGCTCATCATGGATTTTTACTGTGGGAAAAAAAAAACTAATCTGAGAACTGTTTTTTCTCATCTAAGGAAGTTCAATCAATCAAATGTTATTGCACTTCCATGGCAAGAATTGCATGCATGTAAGCATCTTCATTAAAGTGAATTAGTGTGAATCTCTCTCAAGCATAAATCTTTCGTCAACAATAATCTACTAATTTTAAGCATGGTCATAAACATAGAAATGCATGGCAAACATTGCATGTTGCCAATATTTTTGAGAGACCCCCAGGCTAATGCAAATGAATACAATTTGTGTCATGCTGGAAACATGTAAACATTTTCTGGTGTTTTTTGATTTTTTTTCGATTAAAGCCAATGCAGCTTCTTTCTTCTTCCAAATAAGGAAATTAACCCACTTCTTTTTTGATTATGGTGGGGAGGGGAAATTACATCATGCACAATAATTTGCACTAGTTATAATGACGTTTGAGATATCTTTAACTTTCATTCGGCCTAGGCAAAACTGAATTACAGATATCTGCAATTGTCATTTAAGATGTGTGACGAGTTGAATGTCGTTTTCAATGATGTCATTGCAGATATCTGTAATTCAGTTTTGCCTAGTCAAAACTGAATTACAGATATCTCTATCTGTCGTTTCGACTAGTCACAATTACGTTACAGATATATGGCAAGCCCTTTTAACATTTAAAAACTAAGTTTGACTATCCGGAATTAACATTGAAGATATCAACAACTTCTTTCTGACTAGTCGTAATTACATTTTGGATAGTTGGAATTGTCATTCAAGATATCTGTAACGTAATTGTGACTAGTCGAAACGACAGATAGAGATATCTGTAATTCAGTTTTGACTAGGCAAAACTGAATTACAGATATCTGCAATGACATCATTAAAAACTACATTCAACTCGTCACACATCTTAAATGACAATTGCAGATATCTGTAATTCAGTTTTGCCTAGGCAGAATGAAAGTTAAAGATATCTCAAACGTCATTATAACTAGTGCTAATTATTGTGCATGATGTAATTTCCCCTCCCCGCCATAATCAAAAAAGAAGTGGGTTAATTTCCTTATTTGGAAGAAGAAAGAAGCTGCTTTGGCTTTAATAAAAAAAAAAACAAAAAAAAAAAAACAGAAAATGTTTCCATGTTTCCAGCATGACACAAATTGTATTCATTTGCATTAGCCTGGGGGTCTCTCAAAAATATTGGCAACATGCAATGTTTGCCATGCATTTCTATGTTTATGATCATGCTTAAAATTAGTAGATTATTGTTGACGAAAGATTTATGCTTGAGAGAGATTCACACTAATTCACTTTAATGAAAATGCTTACATGCATGCAATTCTTGTCATGGAAGTGCAATAACATTTGATTGATTGAACTTCCTTAGATGAGAAAAAACAGTTCTTAGTTCAGATTAGTTTTTTTTTCCCACAGTAAAAAGCCATGATGAGCTAACAGCATTAAAAAGACGATTAAAAACTCCTTCACCCTCGACATGGTGCTAATTAAAAGTGAACAGTTAACAGGTGCTATGTGATTTGATGATTTGAACAACAACACGCTCTGCTCCCGCCTAAAGTGGGATGCAGGCCTAATTTGCATACAGATATCTGCAACGTCATTTCGCCTAGTCAAAACTCTAATTCAAGATATCTGTAATTACATTTTGACTAGGCAGAATGAAAGTTACAGATATCTCAAATTTCAGATATCTCTAATCAAAATTCATTTTAAGATATCTATAAATTGATAATAGATATCTACAATTAAATTATGACTATCCCTAACTCCAGTTTGAGATATCTACAATGCCATTTTGACTAGTTATAATTCCAGTAACAGATATCTACAACATACTTTTGCCTAGTCAAAACTTAATTTAAGATATCTGAAAAGGAACATGTAGATATCTTGAATTGAGGTGAATTAAAGATATCTTGAACTGGAGTTATGACTAGTCATAATCAAATTGTAGATATCTTAAACTGGAATTACAGATATCTACAATTCAGTTGCAGATATCCGTAATTCACATAGTGGATATCTGCAACTGAATTGTAGATATCTGTAATGACAAACCCCATACAAATGAATGGCAAAAGTGATGTCATTTGTCCTAGGAAGAATGTCTTTGTGGATATCTGAAATGACAATTATGGATAGGAAGAATGTAGTTGTGGATATCTGAAATGTTCTTTTTGACTAGGCAAAACTGAATTACAGATATCTGCAACACATATCCAGTCTAGCTGTTAAATGTTAAAATGGCTTGCCATAACAGATATCTTGAATGACAATTCCAACTATCCAAAATGTAATTACGACTAGTCAGAAAGAAGTTGTTGATATCTACAATGTTAATTCCGGATAGTCAAACTTAGCTTTTAAATGTTAAAAGGGCTTGCCATAATTTTGACTAGTTATAATTCCAGTAACAGATATTTACAACATACTTTCGCCTAGTCCAAACTTAATTTAAGATATCTGAAAAGGAACATGTAGATATCTCGAATTGAGGTGAATTAAAGATATCTTGAATTGGAGTTAGTACTAGTCATAATCAAATTGTAGATATCTTAAACTGGAATTACAGATATCTACAATTCAGTTGCAGATATCCGTAATTCACATAGTGGATATCTGTAACTGAATTGTAGATATCTGTAATGACAAACCCCATACAAATGAATGGCAAAAGTGATGTCATTTGTCCTAGGAAGAATGTCTTTGTGGATATCTGAAATGACAATTATGGATAGGAAGAATGTAGTTGCGGATATCTGAAATGTTCTTTTTGACTAGGCAAAACTGAATTACAGATATCTGCAACACATATCCAGTCTAGCTGTTAAATGTTAAAATGGCTTGCCATATGCGGGTTTGTGGAGAGGATCTTCTCGAGCGCGTCATCGGCTCCTCCCACTCTCGCTGCTCATTGGTCAAGGCCGTGACGTAGTGGCGGCGAGCTTGACACATGATATGACACAAATCATGATATGGCATATCATATAGGCTAGACTACAAAAAAGTAGCCTATTCTTAATTTAAGATTTTTTTTTAGAAACAACCTAAATCACACCTAGGCCTATATGCAAAAATCACTACTCTGAGGTCCTTAATTATAATCTGAATATTTTTAAGGTTATGCAGAACAAAATCACCCGTTATGGCAAGCCGTTTTGAATTTTATTTATTCCCATATGAATTCCTGATATCAACAATTAGTTTCACTTGTTAAAATGCTTATTCTTGATATCAGGAAATTCTAGTAGGCTAAAAATGTTGATTCTTGATATCAACAATGGCGTCTTCTTCACTCGCAAGAACAAGAAATAAATTTAAACGAAAAAACTGTAGCTAATTCTTTATTGCCTATCTGTAATTTCAATAATGTCACAAATTCAATTGCTGATATAAAGAATTCATTTCTTACTAGTTGAAATTACAATTGCATATCAAATAGGCCTATAGGCTAAAATTCTTGTAAAAATAATCAAAAAACGTGCATGGTTACTAAAAATATTAATTCCTGATCAAGAACTCAGTTCACTTGTTGAGATGTTAATTCTCGATAGCCTATGTAGCTATTTCAACATGTTACATTTGTTATTTCTGATATCCAATAATTAGGAAAATAATTTCAGATATATCAAAAATGGCTTTCATATAACCATCACATTCATGATATTAGAAATTAACATTGTCACTATTGAGAATCTATTAGACTATTGACAAATAGGCTAAAAATTTCCACAACCCCGTTGAAGATGACGTTGCGGTAGTGGGTGGGTCCTGCTCGCTCCCGGTGGGTCGTGCACGAGCCCGGTGACGGCGGATTACGTCAGTCACATTCACCGTGTAACACGGACACTGATCAGAGGAGAACAGATGAGGTATGTGTGACTATTTCAGACATTAACTATTAAATCTTTAACTTTCATTTTTTTAATCACTTACTTCAGTCGATATCATGAGTTATCTTGACCGTTTGTCGGTGTTATTGTTGAATATTGAGGCTCAATGACAGCTGTGACTCCTTTAGCCATGCTAAATTAGCTTAGCATGCTGTCCTCTCATTCTTACATAAACAAACTTAGTGAGACACGATATTAATTATCTTTAATGTGTTATAAAGGCAATACATTGTGTTTATGATGACCTCGATCACTATTATAGCTCAAATGATTATAAATGTGATCATATAACTAATGCTAGTGAGCTATTTTGTGTCACTGTCATGTTTTTTTTTTTTTTTTAAATTAATGTCAGTTAGCTTTCATTACTTTTATGGATATGCTTTATGTGTGAGTAGTTTTGACGTCTATTCAGTTTAATTTCAGTAAAATATTCTCATCTATCTTTTAAGAGATGAAATTTACTGTCTAAATGCATTAAACATTTGGTAAATAAAAAAGCTCATGAAGAGTTGTCAACCGAAATAAAAACCTAACTATGAGAAAAGAAGAGTAAAGAAAAGCATGTGAAAACAGTTGGAATAGTTTATTATTGATTTGCTGAATAATATTGGTTGTTTTGAATAATATTTTCAAAGTATCCAACACTGTTTTGATTACAATTGTCACATATTTTTGTTTATATTTTTTAAGATTTTGTTGTTCTCCACATGTTGGAAATTGGGAAAGAATAATAAAAATGCTAAATTCAATTAAACTTAAATTCTAATCAATTGTCAGTGCTGTTAATAGGCAGTAACACATCTGGATAACTACAGCAGCTGTTTTTGTATGACAGTTTTGATGTTTTTTATGTTCTGTTAACAGATGATGATGTTTTTAATATGTTCTGTTCACAGGTGATCCGCTGAGGGCCGTGATGATGCTGTCGCGTGTCTTCCGGCTTCATGGCCTGTTCGTCGCCTCTCACCCGTGGGAGGTGATCGTGGGAACAGTCGCCGTGACGTTGTGTCTGATGTCCATGAACGCTTTCGTCACTAATGACCAGATCTGTGGCTGGAACCATCAGTGTCCCAAAGTACAGGAGGTACACAGATCGACTTTACTGGACTTCCAGAATACATGTCCATTCACAAAATCATTGACATAAAAGCTTGTAGATGTCTCTGTATATCTACACACAAGGTTTATGGCTTAGTTCCTATTTGAACTGTTTTATTGCAACTTACTGAAGTCTAGCTCAGTTTATAGGCTGCAATGTGCTGTATACTGTGTGATTGGGGATTATGATCTTAACAGAAGCATAGCTTGCAAGTTATTGTATAAAACCAATGCAGATTGTTGGTGTTGCTCACTTTTTTGTAGAAAATTCAAAGCGGTGACATGATCATTTTAACCATCACACGATGCATGGCCATCATTTACATCTACGTCCAGTTCAAAAACCTTCGTCAGCTCGGCTCCAAATACATACTGGGTGAGTTTCTCTCTCTTCAAACAGTCTTTCCGACTCATTTAACGTGATTTATTTCCAAAAAAATGGGATATTCAACAAGACAAAGCAAAAAAAGATTAGTACACAATTTATAAGTTAGAGTTTGGATGTTCTTTATATAATTTATGATTGTTCACTTTAAGACCAGGAAACGTTGTCTTTCATCTGTTTGACTGTTTATAATTTATTGTTTCATGTCCAGGTATCGCCGGTCTGTTTACCATCTTCTCCAGCTTTGTGTTCAGCACTGTGGTCGTTCACTTCCTGGGTAAAGAGCTCACAGGACTGAAGTATGGCTCACCCGTCTCCCACATTCAGTGTTATTATCTTTCATTATAGTGTGTGTGTGTAAACGGTGTCCTCATGTTCCTCCAGTGAGGCGCTGCCGTTCTTCCTGTTGCTAATCGATCTGTCTAAAGCCTGCACACTGGCCAAGTTCGCTCTCAGCTCAAACTCACAGGTACAGAAATATGATTTTTCTGCCAATATAAAATTAAACAACATCATGAATACTTTTTGTTTTTTTTTATTTGACCATTTCTTCAAGACCATGTAGTTTCACAATCCTTCCTGAGTGTGAAGACAGATGTTTTTAAAAAAGGCAGAATTTTGTGTTCAATTATTTATTTGAACCAATTCACACTCTCCATTTAAATAAACAGATAAAAAAATTATGATGCAAATTAGGGGTCGACCGATTATTGGCCTGGCCGATTATCAGCGCCGATATTAAGCATTTTTATGGTTATCGGTATCAGCCATTTTCAAAACCGATTTGCCGATAAAATAATTTTATTTTGAAATGCGCTGTATTTGGCTCTAACGCAGCCACATCTGTCGGAAGGAACTCACCACTCTGTAGACTAGACTAATGTCCCCGCACATCTGATGTGTTGGGAGTCACGAGTCCGGCCAATCAACGCGGAAAGCTGAGGCACTGAAAGTGTTGCACTCTCACACCGAAAGCACTTGCTGACTGACTGGAGCTGCTTCACTGATCATCAGATGTCTCTCAAAGTTAAGGCAGCAGCAGACTTTGCTGAAGAAGCAATAGATTACTACACTGAAGTTGCAAAATACCTCCTCAATATAATAGAGCCCTGTGATTTCCGCGATGCAGAAAACGGACGAAATCCAGTCATAAAAACGTAATTTACTGTATAAAGCGGAATAATCGCGGAATTTGTCAACTTTTTGATGAATTAATAAAAAGCAGGTCAGTACAAATCAAATCGAATTTCAAACCGCAAAAAGACTATTTAAATATGAATCCTGCGTGTCTCTAAATGAATGGTGCAGACGCGTGATTTCATTTACCACACACACACACACACACACACTGGAGCACGCGTAGCGCTTGCACTGTTTTCAGCCTCAGCCGCATCATTATATGAGGACATGATTGCATAAACATCATCTCCAGAGTCGCTTAGTCACTTCATGAGCTTTTTAATGCTTCATCTGAGAAAAAATATCGTCATATCATATCATAAACACACAGAAACTCAAAGATCTCCACGGCAACACGTCAAAATAAAAGTTCGGTTTTTCATAGGGCCCTAAAAATGTAATTTTTGTTAAACTGTAAATAAATTGAATAAGTTTGATGATTTCAATTAATTAGAAATGCTTTTTGATTGCTAAAACTTAATTTAAACATTAAAATAGAGTCTTTAGGTTTTACAAAATGTTTACAGAATGCTGGTGGCTGCTCCCTGCACTTTTTAAGTTATTATAATTATTATTATTAATAACAGTTCTCAGATTCAAAGATATGTTTAAAATCATTTAAAGAAAGTATTTGTCAAAACCCTTTGTTATTCTTAATTTTGACATTAATTTACATTTTTACACCAGACATATCTGTGTTTACCGATATCAAAATATCGGTTATCGATCTATTTGATCTGTAATAATCGGTATCGGCCCTGAAAATCCCATATCGGTCGACCCCAATGCAAAGCATTAGTTTGTTTGGATCGTCAGTGAAGTGAACACTATAAATAATGAACAAAAATACACATTCAAAAAATGTTTTGGTGATATATAGAAGCAAAAATGTAAACTATATTATTGCCCGTCTCTCTCTCTCTTTTATATATATATGCATATATATATATATATATAATCCTTATACATAGAGTATACTCGCATTCGCATAAGCTGATATATATACAGTATATAGCAAAATCACAGCTACATGATTGCTTGTTTTTCCGTAAAATGTAACTATATTATTGTCCAGCTCTAATCTGCTAAATGCAACTCTAAGCCATGAAGATATTATAAACATTAACATCATGATTTGCTGTAAAGCTGGTTTAAAACAATGTGTGCTGTGAAAAGTGCTGTACAAAGAAATGTGACTTAATTGTTGACTTGTTTCTACATGCTGTTATGTTGGTGCATATGAATGTAACAATGACGTGTCACGTGACCCACAGGAGGAGGTCCGAGAGAATATCGCTCAAGGCATGGCCATCCTGGGACCCACGTTCACCCTGGACGCGCTCGTGGAGTGTCTGGTCATCGGTGTGGGCACCATGTCTGGCAAGTCAAACCAGTATTTATCTCTCTCTCTCTTTACTATCGCTTTCCTCCAGAGAAGTTGTTCAATTAAAAGCAGGGCTACTATGGTCATAAACCTTCATGAGAGGGTTTTTTTGGTGACCTAATTGTGATTTCATGCTGTGGAAATGTCAAGAAAAATGATAAAATCTTGTAAATTTCTAGGGTGAATATTTTTTTTACATTTTTCTCAGCTTTAAAATATATTTAGTCATGGAAATGTATTGTATATAAGTCGCTTGAACCCTTAAAAATGTCTTACTCTGGCTTTAAACTTCCTATATTTACATCTGTCACTATAACTACTTCCTGTCTGATTGCAGGTGTGCGCCAGCTGGAGATCATGTGCTGTTTCGGCTGCATGTCGGTTCTGGCCAATTACTTTGTGTTCCTGACGTTCTTCCCCGCCTGTGTGTCTCTGGTGTTAGAGGTCAGTGTGGCACTGCGGGATTCGTGTCTTGTTTAAGATGTTCCGACTGAACATTGATCTGTGAGTGATCTGTGAATGAGCATTGACCCCAGTCACTCACCCCTGTCTCGTCCAGCTGTCCCGTGAGAGCCGTGAGGGCCGGCCCATCTGGCAGCTCAGTCATTTCGCTCGTGTCCTGGAGGAAGAAGAGGGAAACAAACCAAACCCCGTCACTCAGAGAGTCAAAATGATCATGGTGAGTTTGAAAACAACGGATCTTCAAAAGTTTGGGGTTCAGTAAGATCTCTTTTTTGAAAGAAAATCAATAAGGATCCATTTAATTGAATACAAGTGACAGGAAAGACATTTATAATGTTACAAATGATTTCCTTTTCAAATACATGCTGTCTCTTAAACTTTCCATTCATCAAAGTCTCCTGAAAAAATAAAATATATCACCGTTTCCACAAAAATATGAAGCAGCACAACTGTTTTCAACACTGATAATAATAATAAATGTTTCTTGAGAAGATAATCATCATATTAGAGTGATTTCTGAAGGATCATGTGACACTGAAGACTGGAGTAATGATGCTGAAAATACAGCTTTGATCACAGGAATAAATTACATTTTACAATATATTAGCATAGAAATTTTAAATGGTAATAATATTTCACAATATTGCTGTTTTTAACTGTATTTTTACTCAAATAAATGCAGCTTTGGTGAGCAGAAGAGACTTTATTCAAAAACATTTGAATGCTAGTGTACATGCAGTGGTCACAAAAAGTGTTTTGACAATAATAATTTCTCTTGACTTTTTGCTTTGTTTTTAATCAGCTGGTGTCACTTGTGTTGATATTTTTGTGTAATCTTTTGGGCCACTTTAGATTAACCCTCTGGGGTTCTTCATTTTAGACTCACACTCAGGACTTTCGGGTCAAAAATGACCCGGAGGGCGGCATTAAGATACATTTTATTTGAGTAAAATCAATGAAATATATTTTTGTTCAATAATATTTTTTCTTTTCTTTTTTGGTGTTTTGAGATAATTTTATGATTTATAATTAATATTTATGCAATAATTAAGACCCATTTTTTTCCCATTGAATGTAATAGAAAAGTTATATATATATATATATATATATAATAATAAAAAATATTTTATTAAAGCTGTATTTCATTTTAGAGTCAAGTCTAGGCCTCATGAAAGCAATTTTTGAAATGAGATCGGAGCCATCTGGTGGACACACTGAGCATTTTTATCACGCAATAGCACATTTTTACCACTAGTGGATTTACAGCTCTCTGTAGAAACCTATGGTAGAAACACTCTAGTGATTTTTTCACATATTGTTTAATTTTTTTCAGGTTGTTGATTTAAATATATAATAACAGATTCTCAAAGACTATTTTTGTCATTTTTTAAAATTTAAATTTTTTTTTTTTGGTTGATTTAAATGGTAATTTGAAGTGGCAGTTTTACTTTATTATACATTCAAACCTGAACATTGCATTATAAAGAGAATAAATGGAAAGCATTTTTTCACCCATTGTTTTAAGAGATTCACCCCTTCACTGTTGTGTGCTTTTTTTCTGCACCCTGGCTGTTTGGTAGATTGTATGCACAAAAAAACTATATTTTTGCCAATTTCCCATTCATTTCCTATGCGGGTCATTTTAGACCCGAAGACCCTGAGTGTGACTATTTTTTTTACGACCACTTAGACTTTTCAAATACTGTCCCCAATTTTTTTGGGTGTTCATATACCAAGTACCAAAAAAGTCACCAAGTTTTGGACCATTCCTATGAAGCTACGATTTTTAACATTTTTTTATTTAAACGCTTCGGGTCATTTTTGACCCGAAGAACCCCAGAGGGTTAAAATGAGAAAGTGTGTTTTACCTGTTGTTGTGTTTGAAGTGTTGTGTCTGTGCTTCAGTCTCTAGGTCTGGCTCTGGTTCACGCTCACACTCGCCTCGTGACTGAATCTCCGACACACAACATGAGCAGTTCAGACGTGGATCTGCCCACACCCAACATGGAGTCCGACAGAACCATGTCCAGGTACCTGCTGAGAAACAGAGCGTATGGTGCTGAGATTTACACTGCCGTTTTTAACAATCTTGTTGTTGTTTCTCAGTGTGGATTTGGAGCAGGTCATCACGCTCTCTCTCGCTCTGTTATTGGCGGCCAAGTACGTGTTTTTCGAGCAGGCTGAAACTGAATCCTCCCTGTCAATCAAATCCCCTGTGGCCACACCCAGCTGCACTCTGACCAATAGGAGAGCAGAAGAGGACCGCTGTCAGAGGGAGTCGGCCCCGCCCAAAGCCATGAAGACGGTCCAGACCAATAAAGGTGAACCTGATCTTCCCTTCTTTCAACTTTTGTTCATTATTTCTGCTTGTTGATTGATTCATTATTTTATTCTTGTTTGTTTTGATTTCTGTTGTTTATTAATATGTGCTTTCTTTCATTTGTTCTTTAATTCAATCTTGTTTATTATTCTGATTTATCGCTCTGTCAGATGGAGATGGACAGCACGAGGAGGAAGAAGCAGAGGAGTGTCGTGAGCTCCAGTCTCACCAGCGCCGCCCTGTGGACGAATGTCTCGCCATACTTAAAGACCCCAGAGTAATCAACCAATCAATCATGTGTTCACTGATCTCAAACCGTCATGTGCTGTACATCATCTCTCTCTCTCTCTCTCTCTCTCTCTCTCTCTCTCTCTCTCTCTCTATCGCTCTCTCCCTCTTTCTCTCTCTCAAAAAATCATTTCTCACTGTGTTTGCGATGTAAACCCTGATGGCTATATGCAAGTTTATGCGTGAAAGTTTTTTTTTTTTTTTTACGAGTGTTAGGTTTTCTAAGATGCTATTTTCACGTCTTGAGACTCCGGTTTAAATCCATTGCGCTCCTAGCTGCTTTTTTTTTTTGTTGCTTTTTACTAATAAATGTTATATCTTTCATTTTTTTTGTACATAAAGTGATCTTAAAGTCAAGTCTCTCTCTCTCTCTCTCTCGCTCTTCTTTAAGAGAGGAGCTCGGTTCCTGAGCAACGCTGAGGTGTCGTCATTGGTGGAGTGCAGAGGGATTCTGGGATACCGTTTGGAAGCGGTGCTGGAGAGTCCCGAGAGAGGCGTGGCCGTACGCAGAGAGATGCTCTCCTCTAAACTCTCAGACTCGTCAGCGCTGGAGAACCTGCCCTACAGACACTACGACTACTCAAAGGTGCTGCTCACCGTCTGCTGCGGAGATCCAGTGTGTGTGTGTGTGTGTGTGTGTGTGTGTGCCCTACAGACACTACGACTACTCAAAGGTGCTGCTCACCGTCTGCTGCGGAGATCCAGTGTGTGTGTGTGTGTGTGTGTGTGTGTGCCCTACAGACACTACGACTACTCAAAGGTGCTGCTCACCGTCTGCTGCAGAGATCCAGTGTGTGTGTGTGTGTGTGTGTGTGTGCCCTACAGACACTACGACTACTCAAAGGTGCTGCTCACCGTCTGCTGCAGAGATCCAGTGTGTGTGTGTGTGTGTGTGTGTGTGTGTGCCCTACAGACACTACGACTACTCAAAGGTGCTGCTCACCGTCTGCTGTGAAGATCCAGTGTGTGTGTGTGTGTGTGTGTGTGTGTGAGATGAGCTGTTTAACTCTGCCTCCTCGTTCTCAGGTGATCGGCACTAACTGTGAGAACGTGATTGGCTACGTGCCTGTGCCAGTGGGCGTGGCCGGACCGCTCCTATTGGACGGGAAAGAATTCCACGTCCCCATGGCAACGACGGAAGGCTGTTTAGTGGCCAGCACCAACCGAGGATGCCGAGCCGTCACAGTGAGTCTTTCGTTTCATTCATTTCTCTTCATTATTTCTTAATTCTTTCTTACGTTTTGTGGTTTTTTTTTGTTTATTCTTTCTTCTACTTTGTTTAATTAGCTGTCATTCCTACACTTATTTGTTCCTTCTTTTCTTGATTTATTCATTCTTTTGCTTTAATATCTGTTGTTTATTCGTTTGTTCTTCCATGTGTTATATATTTTGTTGCTTGGATCTTTCCTTCGGGTTTTGATTTATTTCTTCATTGTTGTTTTTCCTCTTTTAATCTCTTTTGTTGATCTATTCATATTTTTTATTTTGCACATTATTTTTCTTTCTTTCTTACTTTGTTAGATCTTTTGTTCATTCTTTATTTTTTCTGTCATGCGCTCATTAGCTCCTTTTTTTTGTTTCGTTTTTACAATTTGGTTTCCAGTGTTTATTAATTTCTTTGTTCGTTCTATCATTTGTTCTTACTTTCATTTATTTGTTTGTTTATTTATTTCCTTTAATTTGTTCCTTTATTCGTTCATTGTTGTTTTTCCTCTTTTTTTCACATTCCTTCTTTCTTTCATTTTTTTCATCATTATTTCTGCTTTTTTTTCATTCCAACTTGTTTTTTGATGATTCGTCCATTCTTTTGTTTATTCGTTCTTTGCTTTGATTTCTGTTGTTTATTAATTTGATCAATAATCGTTTTTAGTTTCTAATGTTTACTAACTTGTTTGTTTGTTCTTTCTTTTGTTGCTTGTTTCTTTCCTTCCATTTGTTCATTTATTGTTTTTCCTTGTTTCTCTCTTTTGATGTTTTGTTCTTTTTTCTTTTGCACATTCATTCTTTCTGTTTCATGTAGAGCATTTCTTTCATTTTTTTGTTTAAAATAGAGATCACGATTCTGAATAATAACATGTCATTTACTAGAGGTTTTGAAAAAATGTTAATTGCTGCAGTCTATTTAAATATGTTTAATTCATTTAAATGAACTATTAAAAAAACGAGTGAATGATTCAATGACTCACTCAGAATGACTCTTTGAACAAATCTCTTTAACAGTCACTTGTCGCCACCTACTGGTGTAACGATGTAATTGATCCCGTCTTTATTTAAAGCGTCATTACTTTCTAATATTTTGGTGGAAAAGACTGTTTGTGAAGCGGTTTCCTACCTATACATGACAACTGCTCTCTCTGGCTCAGCGATCTTTTAACGATTATGTTTGGTCGTGTTTGGTTCTCTCTCTCACGGTAAGTGTCAGTCTCCTCTAACAGAGTGCTTGTGTGTGTGTGTGTGTGTGTGTGTGTAGCTGTCGGGCGGCGTGAGCAGTCGAGTTCTAGCGGACGGGATGACCCGCGGGCCGGTGGTTCAGATGCCGTCGGCGTGCCGGGCGGCCGAGGTCAAGGGTTGGCTGGAGAGTTCAGAGGGCTTCAGTGCCGTCAAACAGGCCTTCGATCACACAAGCAGGTCAGAGGGCAAAGGTCACGCACAGAACGAGCCTCATACAGCACTGCTATGAGAGTTTCCCGTGAGAACTTGAGCTCTGTGTTCTTCAGGTTTGCTCGTCTGGACCGGCTGCAGGTCAGTTTGGCCGGGAGGAACCTGTACATCCGCTTCCAGTCTCAGACCGGAGACGCCATGGGCATGAACATGCTGTCAAAGGTGTGTGTGATGAAGCAGATCTGTGGGTCAGAGTTCACCGAGCATCAACTTCATGCCGAAACCTTTTACTCCAGTATTGACTTAAATACACTTCAAGCCAAGAGTTTTGGGATCAGTACGAATTTTAATGATTTTAAAATGAGTCTCTTCTGCTCACTGGCTGCATTTATTTGATAAAAAAAAAAAAAAAAAAAAAAATTGTGAAATATTATTACAATTTCAGCTGTTTTCTATGTGAATATACAGTAAAGTGTAATTTATTCCTGTGATCAAAGCTGTATTTTCAGCATCATTACTCCAGTCTTCAGTGTCACATGATCCTTCAGAAATCACTCTAATATGAGGATTTGATTTCAGGATTCTTTGATGAATTGAAAGTTCAAAAGAACAGTATTTATCTGAAATAGAAAGCTTTTGTAACATTAAACACTACTGTACAAACTACTGTACTGGGGTCAAATAAACTCTGTTTTTTTTAACTTTCTATTCATCAAAGAATCCTGAAATAAAATTGTACACAACTATTTTCAACATTGATAATAATAATGAGCAGCAAATCATCATATTAGAGTGATTTCTGAAGGATCATGTGACGCTGAAGACTGGAGTAATGATGCTGAAAATACAGCTTTGATCACAGGAATAAATTACATTTTACAATATATTCACATAGAAAACAGTTATTTTAAATTGTCATAATATTTAACAATATTCCGTTTTTGTTTTTTTGTTTAATCAAACAAATGCAGCCTCGGTGAGCAGAAGAGACTCCTTTTAAAAACATAAAAAATCGCTCAGATCCAAAACGTTTGAACGGCAGTGTGTGTTTTGAAGGTTTAAAGTTGCAGTGTGTGTGTGTTGGTGTGTGTAGGGAACAGAAGAGGCTCTGAGCAGACTTCAGGAGCGCTATCCTGACATGCGTCTGTTAGCCGTCAGCGGGAACTTCTGCACCGATAAAAAACCAGCCGCTGTCAACTGGATCCAAGGCAGAGGAAAGTCCACAGTGTGTGAAGCCATCGTGCCGGCTCGAGTGGTGGAAGAGGTCAGACTGACAGGAGATCACGTGACACTGAGGTTATGCTCCTCTAGGGGGCGTCAGAAAGCTCTGTTTGACGTTTAAACGGTAATAACTCTTGCCAAAAGTGAACCTAGGCTCTTTTTGTTGATCTACCCCAGTCAAACTTTCATGTAAAAGCATAATTAGAATGGAAACGGCACTTTTAAGATTGACCGTATTTTCATTTTAGTTAAAAATGCCTTTTGAATGGGAGTGCATGGGGCACTACTATGATAGCATCAAAATGGGTGTTTTTAAAACACTAAGAAGGCTCGACACAACATAAAACTGCTCGAAGTATCACCAGGGCCTCTACACATGAAGCATTCAATTCATTGTTTGTGTACACAAAGTTTACTAAAAAGAAAGGTTTTGTACGACTCACTTTATCAGGTAGTGTTTCCGGTGGCTGGAATTTTGTCAGTCAAAAGTAGTCGATCTCCGAATGCTGATCAGTGATCAGTAATAATCAGGTTCAATTTTGGCAAGAGTTACCCTTTAAGTGTACAAATGTCTGTTGCTCAACCTTCTCAATCTGTTCAGTGCAGGACACACTAATGGAAATCCACCTGAATTGATTTCTCTGGTAATATGGTGTCTCAGCAGTAATATGGTGTGTGTGTGTGTGTGTGTGTGTAGGTGTTGAAGAGCAGCACAGGTGCTCTGGTGGAGCTGAACATCAGTAAGAATCTGGTGGGATCAGCGATGGCCGGAAGCATCGGCGGATTCAACGCTCATGCGGCAAACATCGTAACGGCCATCTACATCGCCTGCGGACAGGTGTGTGTGTGTGTGTGACATATTAATACACACATTCCTCATCATCATATAGTGCAGGATTCATCAGTGCATGTGATTCTAAAGAACAAAATGAACAGGAAAAATAATAGGAACAATCTTACTTGATTATCTGTTCACAATCCAGTGAAAATTCCAGTGGAGAAGTTTCTGGTCAAATTAAGTGCAATGCATTGAAATGTATTTAAAAAGTACACACACTCACTCACACACTCACTCACACACACACACACACACATAGGCTGGAGACAACAAGATACATCTAAACTTGTTTTTCTATTATTAATACACATATTTTTAATCATATTGTGTGCCATTCATCAGTGCACATTATGCATGGTATTATATGTTAGAATATTGTATCATTATATGTTATAGTATAAATATAATGGTTATAATAATAATATATTAATTTTAAAAGTTATATACATCTATATAGTATTTTATATATATATTATATACATTTATAATATATATATGTGTGCATATGTCATTATTATGTTATTATCAGTAGTTTTTCTTATCTGTGTGTTAAGCACTTTGATTCGCCTTGCTTGCCGTTTTTAAATCTTCTTTTTAAATTAAACAAACTTGAAACCTGAGTAAAGATTTCACAACATATAAAATACAAATTTGATCCAAATAAAATCAAATGTTAGTGCATGTAATTACAGATAAGATGTGATGTGTGTGTGTGTGTGTGTGTGTGTGTGTAGGATCCTGCGCAGTCGGTGGGCAGCAGTAACTGTATTACTCTGATGGAGTGTGTTGGGACAGATGGAGATGATCTGTACATCTCCTGCACGATGCCCTCACTAGAGCTGGGCACTGTGGGCGGAGGAACCGGCCTGCCCGCGCAACACGCCTGTTTACAGGTAACACACACACACACACTCACTCACTCACTCACTCACTCACTCACTCACTCTCACAAACACACACACTCTTACTCACAGACACACACACACTCACTCACTCACTCACAGACACACACACACACACACTCACTCACTCACTCACAGACACACACACACACACACACACACACACACTCACTCACTCACTCACAGACACACACACACACTCACTCACTCACTCAGACACACACACACTCACTCACAGACACACACACACACACACACTCACTCACTCACAGACACACACACACACACACACACACACACACTCTCACTCACAGACACACACACACACTCTCACTCACTCAATCACAGACACACACACACACACACACACACACACACACTCTCACTCACAGACACACACACACACTCTCACTCACTCAATCACAGACACACACACACACACACACTCACTCACTCACTCACTCAATCACAGACACACACACACACTCATTCACTCACACACACTCACTCACTCTCTCACTTACACACTCACTCACTCTCACTTACTTACACACACTCTCACTCTCACTTACAATCACACACACAATTTCACTCTTGAGAGATTAACCCCTGGCTTGTGTGTGTCAGATGTTGGGTGTTCAGGGTGCCAGTGCTCAGTGTCCCGGTGAGAACTCCCGGACGCTGGCACGGATCGTCTGTGGGACAGTGCTGGCCGGAGAGCTCTCACTGATGGCTGCGCTCGCCGCGGGACACCTCGTCAAGAGTCACATGACTCACAACAGGTACCACATATACATATAATACTCTATACATAAACAATATTCAAATATTTCTTATGTCATACAGGAAACAATATTGATTTTTAAAATACAAATACTATAAATAATATAGATGTTTTTTAAGTTGTGAATAAAACAGATTATTTTTCTTTTTAAATTTTTACATTTCATTCTATGTGTTACTTGACATTTCTTTGAAATTGCTAGTATATTTCACAAATAATTACAAAGTGAAAATTGTTTCAATACGTGTATAATTTCCCCAATTGTGTAATTCAATTTAGCATAAATATATTAATATTTTTTAATATTAAAAATAGATTTATATTACATGATTTTACATGGTTTCTTTCTAAATTTTTCTAAACGCTAAATTGCTAGTAGTATTACAAATATTATTTAACTTCTAGTACTAATACTCAATTAGATTAAAATATGATTTTACATGATATTGTGATTCTGAAGTTCTTTTACTCCCTCAAACAGGTCAAAAGTCAATATTAGAGCGACAGAACAGCAGCCCAAGGAAGCTTCATGAAGCGTCACACCCAGAGAACTCTGGGAAGGGAGTCTGGAGCGCCTGACGTCCGTGGGGATTCTTCTTCTCAGGCCGTCTGGAGGAGTTTTCTTCTGTGAAGCAGCTCATTTTGCAGTTATGGGAAATACTAATGTTTTACGTTTGCTTTGTGCCTCAATTTTATAAGCCGACCACATGAGTTAATGAGCGAGATGCCCAGTGATTGGCTGCTGAGTTTGAGACTTGATCATTGCTCACGTTACTGAATGTGTGTGTGTTTAGTCTTGCACTACAAGCCAGAACTGTCACTTGAGCAAGATTTGTCAAAACCTGGTACAAGCCGAAACACGGCGACGGTTTATCACTCTGTGAGAATGGGACGTGAAAACAGGATTTGTTTTGCACCCTGGCTGATAGTTTTTAGACTAAATCATGATCTCAGATCAGGGCTTGATGGATGATGGTGTGGTTTGGACCTTCAAGAGCACCAGATTGTGAATGAATGTATTTAATTGAATCAATCCTGCCAAACTCACTGTGACAAACTCCACTGACGGACCTTATAAACCAGGTGCTACTTTAATTTAACAAGTGATTTGAGTTAATGAATCTTGAGTGTGGATGTTTGCACTATTTGCAGTGTGTGTGTGTGTGTGTGTGTGTGTGTGTGTGTGTGTGTGTGTGTGTGTGTGTGTGTGTGTGTGTGTGTGTGTGTGTGTGTGTGTGTGTGTGTGTGTGTGTGTGTGTGTGTGTGTGTGTGTGTGTGTACTACTAATGAAATGTTTCTGAATTGCCACTATGAATTCATGACTTTAAAGTGCTTCAGCTTTTCTCGACAAAAGCAAATCCTTTCACTTTCTGACTAAAGAAAGTGCTGATAAAGCCATATCTGTCTCTTAAAGTTGCTTTCTCTCCTGCTAAACTATTGATCAGATCTGCATATTTTTAAATTGTCAGTATTTTTGTTAAATAACTGTTATAAATGCATCAAACTGAAAAAATAAACATTAACAGAATATTATTTGCATTTGTGTGCAATAGATTTTTTCAAGCATTGTAGTTTTATATGGCAAAAATGAATTATTTGTGAGTTTCTAAAACTCCAGAACTGACTGATCAAACTGTAATATGGATTTGCAGAAAGAAATGATCAACACAACAGTCAGCGGTGCAGAAAGATGTCAATCATTTTATTCCTCTCTAAACCGGCGGTGGCGCCGCCTCTATTCACAGTACATGTTGATCCTGACACCTTTAGTGTGTGACGCGTATGCACACACAACATCTGAACCCAGAGGACTTTACATTCAGTGCAAATGCAACTAATAACACACTAGACTGTATATTAGAGGGACACACAAGCAGAACGCCTCTCCTGAAACACAGTTTTTTACAGCAACACATTCAGCTTTACGGTTTCACTCCGGTGGATTCGTACATTCGGGTTCAGCGAGTGTCTGGAATGTTTAAGTTGTACGAGCGTGACGTTTTGAAAATCGAAAGCTTACCGTAAACACTCGGATGTCGTCGTTGTGCACCTGCTCTTTTCTTCTTTTTTTTTGTCCTCTAAAGCATCTTTAACAGTCTATCATGTGACAGTTTGACCAATGAAAATGTTCAGCAAAAAATGTAAAAGCTCTCGTCATTCTGCAAAAAGTGATTACTTGTTTTCCAGTGCAAATATCGAAACATTGTTAAATCAAGATACATTTACTGGAGACACAAAACGACTGTACTACATGAAAAACACATTTTTAAAATCAAAATGAAGTGAGTTTATGCAAATATCTCAGAGAAACTTCAAACAAGAAATATCTGCCAATGGGGTCAGAAAAATAATCTTGTTTTCTCTTTGAATTAAGCATAAAGTCAGAAAACAAGACATTCATTCAGTCACTTTTCAAGTAAATGCATCTTTATTTAAGAACTTTTTGATGTTTGTACAGGAAAACAATTATTTTTTTGCCAGTTTGTGGCCTGTAAGATTGTTTATGAATGCTTGAGATTTAGTTTTTACTTTGAAAAAATTCATTTGATCAAGAAAAAAAATAAATAAACAACTAATTCTACCCAATCAACAACTACGTGTGATCTACGCCCCAAATTTAAACCACATCTCCCTATTGGATAGAATATTTAAGTGGCATCAGAGCTTCTCCAATGAGAAGACACTTCTCTGATGACATTTGCTGATTGCAAAATCACGTTTAAATAATACAAGGTAAAAAAATCAATATGAAATGATCTTTGTAGAAACACTAAAGGATGCCTGGGTCGTGGCTGTGGTTTTGATATAATAATAATAATAACGTGGGCGGTACGAACAGCAAGACGTACCAGATCAATAATGAGGCACTTTCTAGAAACGTTTGAGTGCAATACACACTTCTCATCGCTCTCTCTCTCTCTCACACACACACACACACTAAGGCATATGGAGTTGGATTAGTCAGGTAAAAGCATCGACTGACGATCTTAAGCAATAATGAAATTATATACAAATAATCTGCGCGCAAAGTTCGTCCGACGTATTAAAATCGTTTGCCTGTCGCGATGGATCTGTAATTGTGCTACGGTACGTCAGCTGCTGACACACGGATATAACTAAAGAATCGTCCAGATCAGCTCTTCGTCAGCGTCAGACTCTGCGCTTCATCAAAGAGACGGCGAACATCGAGACGAAAGGCAGGTTCACAGGTCATTCACAAACATGCCTTCCATTCCATACTGAACGTTGACGATTATACGAGGACAATGAAAGCAAAGCTGAAATGTTTGTTCTAAACAGAAAAACACTAATAATCAGGACTAAAACAGCCGGTCTCGTGTGTTCAGCTTCAAAACTCTCCGATATATATATATATAAACTTCCCATCTCACTTACTTACATACATACATATATACTTGTCTCAATATAGCCCTCTGGCAGACACACGGGCCTGTGTGAACTAGTGTGGCGCTACAGAAGGGCTTCACGTGTCTGCCGGTGGGCCGCTGATGAAGACACGACTGCAGGAGTGTGTGGGAACTGGACGCGCTCAGACACACTGACAGCAGAACTGGGGAACTGCAGAGGACAGATCAAAAACAGACATTAATCATCTATTACACTATAATAACTATAACATAACTAACACTTTACAATAAGGCCCCATTAGTTAAAGGTGCAGTGTGTAATTTGTAGCGGCATCTAGTGGTGAGGTTGTGAATTGCACCCAACAGAAGTTTCGGTGGCCGACAGGAAGTGATGTCATCGTATGAGACAGCAGAAAGTAGCCAGTTAAGCAATGAGGTTTCTTTACAAAGATAAATTAAGAAATTAGGTTTACTTGATTATTCAGTAAAACGATATGTTATTGCGAATATTATTGTTACTTGTGTTTTATTCACTGACTTTAGCTCGCTTCTTTGCACGAAGAACAACAGTAGCCGCGTTTCCACTGCCGGGCCAGGGCTAACAGCGAGCCGAGCCGAGCCAGTGGCCTCGGGCCTTAAGCACCGGGCTTGCGTTTCCACTGCTGGGCCAGTAGCCCCGCAGCGCTGCCCTAAACCCCGCCCCTAACACGCCTTTCTGGATCAAACGTCATACAACCCAACCCATTTGAGTGGGTATTATGAATTTATTTATTTTTTAAGTTAGGAAGATAGCATGTATATTAACTCACCGGCCGTGGCTGCAGCCTGCAATAGTGTCCAGATTGTCTCGCGAGTCGCCACTAACAAAGGGACGGTGACCCAGCACACCGTCCATCAAGTCGAACCATAGAATTTAGAAAGTTCCTTCTCTGAGCTCCGCTTTGTCCATTGTGCGTTTGAATCGCCTTGTACAATACTGCGCCCGCAACTTTTTTTTTCCTGAACTTGAAGCGTTGCTCGCTGAATGCTTAGCTTAGAAAGTTCAGCATCGATGTATTTTATAACGTCTTCATTTCTTCACACGCCGTCAAATTGATGTTGTACACTTTCTTCTGCCCAAATGGTCAGAAGAGCTTTGGTATCTTCGACAGACCAGTAAGTTACAGGCGATTCACCATTTCGAGCAGCGATTATTTTGCGCGATATAAAAAAGTGAAATGTGCATCTTGCTTCAGATCATAACGTTCCATAACACCGATAAACTTTGCCCTTTACCTTGACCACGCCTCTAGCCCGAGCTGGCCCGCTTTGGCCCAAGGTATTCGCCGTTGGCCCCGAGTAAGCCCTGATCAAGCCCCGGAAGTGACAGTGGAAACGCGACTGGCTCTGGCACGCACTAGCACAGCTCTGCCCTGGCCTGGCAGTGGAAACGCGGCTATTGACGAAACGCATTTGTCCACTCAGGGCCACTGTAGAAACATGTCAGCGCATTTCATTGTAAGTGGACCCACGGTGTGTGTAGATAGAAATGGCTCATTCTAAGCTAATAAAAACATAACGGTTCATTAAGTAAGGTCTTTATACACCACTGAACAGAGTTATGTATATGATATTGCATTTCTGTCAACATATCCCCCTAAATATTACACACTGCACCTTTAACATGATTTAATGCATCGACTAACGTTAACAATGTGTAATACATTTCTTAAGGTATTTGTGCATAAACAAAAATAAAAACAAGTTTAAAATGTTTAATCATTTTTATATCTGAAAATAAGGATTTTTTTAAAGACAACATGAACATGCATTAAAAAACGGTTTAAAAAAAATGATTGATTAAGTGTAAAAAAAAACATCTTCCAAACCATGTCTTTACATTACCCAAATACACTTTGATGAACCTATAATAATACTAATCTGTATTTTAGAGCAGACTGAGTGTGTAGCTTTAACTCTGCCTGATCTCTTTTCCCCATTCTCGCCACTGTTGGCATGAAACTGGTCCTCGTGTGCTGGAGTTTGATGTACCTGGTGCTCAGAAGAGGATGGGCTTTCCGGCAGTTTTCTCCTGGACGTAGGAAGTGAAGCGCTTGAGGAATTTGGGATATTCTCTCTTGGCCACGGCCCTCAGGACAGACGCAGGAGCCCAGCCGCCAGGATTCACTGACACAACAACAGACAAACGTCCAGTCAGCGTTCATATATATATATATGCACCTTATTTATGAACAAGCAGGCTTGTGTTGAACAGATGTCCCTACAGTCGTGGTATTCTCACCACACTAATGCATTTACATGAACAGAAAACATTTAGAAATATTGATAAATGTTCATGTTATTTCTATATAGAGAGATTATATGTCAGAAGTACCGTTGGCCACATATGTGATTTTGCACAGGATGTTGTCTCTGCTGATCTCTTTGTTGCCCTCTGGTGGACTGACCAGCGTCTGGCAGATCATCCCAATGTTGATTTTAGCACGCACACATCTGTTGTTTGGCTGCATGAAGACAAAAACAATCAAACAATGAGTCATTTACATTTTACATTTATTCATTTAGCAGACGCTTTTATCCAAAGCGACTTACAGATGAGAACAATAGAAGCGGTTAAACTAACAGTAGGACAACAATATGCAAGTGCCATGACCCCTCTCAGTTTAATCTAACGCAGTACATGTTAGTGTTAGTATTACTAACACTACTGGATCAAGTCATAAATTAATTATACAGCGTCTTCAGAAATAAGCCTACATGCTCACTGTATCATAGAACCTCTCTTTAACAATTTAACTACATTTAAAGAGCCCATATTATGCCCCAAATCTTGATTGACTAGAACAGGCTAATGCTTCAATGTTCATTACTTTTCTCATATTTGTCACGGTTGCGGCTCCTCTCTTCCCAGTCTGTCAGTAACGCTCTGTTTAGTTCCCGTCTCTATGAAGCCCCTCCTTCTGAAAAGCACACAGTGCTCTGATTGGTCGGCTGGAGCAGTGTGTTGTGATTGGTCGAGCGCTTTGAGTGTGTTTGGGAAATGTCCTACTATTCCTCGTGCGCGCCTCAAACTGAAGGGTGATCGTGCTTTCTCTGTCGCTGGTCCTAGATTGTGGAATAATCTCCCACTGGATGTTTGATCTTCCTTGACTCTTAATGTTTTAAGGACCACTTAAAATCTTATCTGTACTCTTCGGCATTTTAGTACATTAGCACATGGATGTTTTTATGTTTTGTCTTATTGTTCTGTTGCTTTTTATTGCAATGTACAGCACTTTGGAGCTACAGTGGTGGCCTGTAAGGTGCTATATAAATAAATAAACGAACGAACGTCCCTTATCATAACCACCAGTTTCAACACACTACTAACTAACTCGACCAGGCCCCGCCCCTATATTCTGCGTATGAATTATTCAAATGAGGAATATTGTGGCGTGTTTGTTCCCGGAAGAAACTGAAGACTACAATAGAGGCGTTTCAGGGAGTTCAGAAACACTGACACTGATATAGAGAAGAACTCCTGCTGGAGGGACTTTGTAACTTTGCAGTAAATGCACAAAATCTGAATCAATGTTTCTAGAAGTCAGAAGAGATCCACATAACATAACCCTGTAAACTCATTGAACTGCTGCTCGGTTAATCATAAACATGCTGACTCAGCGGTTGCCATAGAGACCGACTCACCTGGGCTTTCTCGTGGTCGACTGAGAAGTTGCAGACGAGCCACGTGTCTGGATCGTTCTCGTTATTGGCCACGATCTTGCGGATGGCAGACAGATACAGGACGTCTCTCTGGGACGCTGGCCACACTCTCTGCACGAGGAAAACACAGCATGAGGAAGTGCTCTTCCACTGAGCCCAGTGTCACTCACACACTCTTCTTCTCACCTTATGAGTCTGGTAGATGATGACGGCGTTATCCGACAACGTTTCCACTACGCTGAAGTTTTCAACAGTAGCTGGAGACAAAAACGAGACCTGATATAAATGATGCCAGACGAGCTGAACACAACTAAATGTAGTTCTGAGTGTGTGTGTGTGTGTGTGTGTGTGTGTGTGTGTGTGTGCGCACTCACTCTCCCAATCGTTACGGACATCCGTGTCCCAGAAGTAGTGGCAGACCTCATGACCTGTGACCCCTTTGACAGAGTGTGTGGCCTTCAGCGGGTCCAGCACGATCCCGTTCTCCTCCACCTCCCTCCGGTACACCTGACACACACAGAGAGAGAGAGAAAACACACACATTAGATTGAATTTTAGACCCAGTTTTAACCTTATCAGGCACCATTTTAAATGAATCTCAAAAGTGACTGATTCCAGTAGTTTGATCACACGATGCTAAGCTAATGTTATGATGAGGCACAAACATACATAGAAGTGATATTGTTAACAAAAAAAACAAACTACATTTTTTTTTTTTACATTTTGAAATAAAAATCAAATATAAATATTAGATGATAACATGAAACTAACTGAAAATAAGAAATGTTGCCTTGAGAACTAACTTTAAATAAATTAATTCTAAAACTAAAATAAATATACATATATATAAATTATATAAAATATAAATAATAAAAACAAAAAACAAACATCTAAACTAAAATAAAAAATGAAAGCTACAAATATAAAAATAAAACCCAACTATAAACATCAACTTAAACTAAAACTGAAATAATAATAAAAATATATATATATATTAAAAAATAAACTAAAAAAGTGTTAATTTAAACTAAAATTAAACTGAAAGCTGAAAAAACTAATTCAAAACATTAGAGAAAACCAAAACTGAAATAAAAAACTAAATATAAAAAAACAAAACGCCTTAAATTAAAATGAAAGCCTGAAATATAAAAATAAAACTCAATTTAAAACATTAACAAATACTAATATAACATGCTACCAAATACACTGCATAAAACGCACAAATATTGGGCTAAAGAGCGCGCGTTTAAATCATTTGAACTACTCTCTTTCCATACGGTCACTGTTCTGAACGTCCTGTATGTGGCCGTACTGTTGAGCTCACCTTCATCTCTCCCTCCTCCACCACGAGCTGCCAGTTAGCGTCTCCACCCACGTCCTGCAGAGAGTAGGTCATGTGATTCTTCACCATCTCCTCCACCTGCCCAAAACAAAGCAGAACAAGAAGGTCAGAGGTCATGCCCTCATTTAAGAGGATCTAGATAAAGAACACTAAAACTGAGCAGCAATCAGTCAACATGAAACTCCTTTCACAACCCACTGCACTTCTGTAATATACCAGTCACTGAAACAGTATTCCCAAATGAAACGCATCAGTTACTTTCATTATATTGCTGGGTTTATTATATTATGACTGTAAACTTTATTACAGGCATTAAATTGCTGGGTTTAGAAAGGCTGCATCAGATACAACAGTAAATGATCAAATACAAATGACGAAACCGCTATTTAAAATGCGAGAATCAAATATGAACCATCAGGATTTTGAGGAACATTTGCCCATATTTCGAACATCATTGTCTTACATTGCATTATATGTTTTGCCCTATAATTAAAACAAAAGAGCTTTGATCATAAAACAATATGATCTTACTAAGACATATTATTGGTATAAATATATACACCAGTATAACTAAAGTATAACTACTTAATTTATTTACATAGTGCAAACATGCAAACATTTTATTTTACACATAAAAGACCATGTGATTTAATAATAAAACCAGGAACATGAATTAAGAAAGCATATTTGCTTCATTTTGATGTCATAGTGACTTAGATAGTTCCAAGAAATTACTGAACGTGCAAATTGTGATTTCAAAAAGTATCATTAGCTGTAATTTCAAAAAGCACAAAAACAGAAGAAAATAGAGGTAACAAGGCAGACTATGTGGTTTTAATGTGTTGTTAAAGGTGCCCTAGAATGTGAAATTGAAATTATTTTGGCATAGTTAAATAACAAGAGTTCAGTACATGGACATGACATACAGTGAGTCTCAAACACCATTGTTTTCTCCTCCTTATTTAAATCTCGTTTTTGAAAAACACCCCTGAAAAATAGGCGAATCTCCACATAACACCGACTGTGACGCAACAGTCGGGATCATTAATATGTACGACTCCAAAAATGTGCATATGCCAGCCCATGTTCAATGCCAGGCGGAACAGCGCAGCCGAAGCATAGCAGTTGCTCAGTGTTTGGATGTACACATGAACACAAAAGTATTCTTTAGTTCCTTCATCCAAGCCACTGAAGTAACAATGGCTTAATTTTATTTTCTCTGGAAATGCGCCGACACAACTTCCCAAAGTTAGACAGGTAATCGTTCTCTCAAAATCGTTCAATACTGTTTATGATAAGATCTTCATTCTCGCGATCAACAGACTGTCATCTGATTGCTCAATGCTCATCACGGCAACATTTTATGTGATGGGAATAGATCTAAATACTTTAAAAACATCTCACGATTCGTTAATCTCGATAGCTGTAATAGTAAAAACGTATAATAGCTGTAGTAAAAGTATTCGAGAGAGTTTCACATGTAGCCGTTTCATATGCAAGCATGTCAGCCAATCACAGCAGTGGGCGGATACACTGAATCCCACAGCAGACACGCCCCTTCAAACAGAGCGCAGTGTTTCCCCTAGGATTTTTTTTTCTGAGGGGGGGGGGGGGGGGGGGGACTGCTAGTGTTGCGGAGCGGGCGTGTTACGGATACGTGGTGTAAATTTTTTAGCAATCAAAAAGCATGTCTAATTAATTGAAATAGTGTATTATGAATCATTAAACGTATACAACATTTTTAAAAAAAATTCACTAATTCTGTGTTGTGTTTTTTCTGGTAATAAAATGAAGACATAAAACACAAATTTGATCATTTATCATCAATTTTAATCATATGAAATTAAATAAACTTTTTGTCAAATAACGTGCTGCACAATGAGCTTTACTGTTAAAATTAAAAAACATGGATTATTCCTAAAAAATTCAGTTTTGATGACAATTTATTTGGATTAGTGTTAGTATTATTACATTGGGACATATCTAAATTCTACTGTACAACAGTAATATATTTCTGTCAAGTTAAACCGAACTTTTATTTTGACGGGTTGCCGTGAAGACCTTTTGAGTTTCTGTGTTTGTCATAATGATAGTTTTTCTCAAATGAAGCGGTGAAATTATCACGAAGTGACTTTCGGAGTGGATCTAGAGCCTAGAGAGGAAGTTTATGCATTTGTGTCTTCATATAGGCAAAAAAACTGTGCAAGCGTCATACGTGCTTCAGTGTGTGTGTGTGTGTGTGTGTGTGGTAAATGAAACTGCGCGTCGGCTGCACCATTCATTCACACAGAACAAGCAGGATTCGTATTTAAATTGTCTTTGTGGTTTAATATCCACACACACTTGTCTACATCGCGATTTGATTTCAAGTGTACTGAACTGCTTTCTATTTATTCCTCAAAAGATTGACAAATTCCATGAAATTCCGCGTTATACAGTAAATTTATTTTTTATGACTGGATTTCGTCAGCAATTTAGGGGGGGCGGGGGGTTGTTTTGGGGGGGCGGGCCGCCCCCCCCCCCAAAACAATGGTAGGGGAAACACTGGAGCGTTCAAATCAGAGGCTAAAATCAGGCTAGGAAAAATCCTTTTATTTCTAAATGATGACTATTTTTGATTAAAAAAATACTAACATTATAAGGGCAACCCAGGAAACATTATAAAATAATAAAATAACCCCATTCTAGGGCACCTTTAACATAGTTGACTTATATATATGCCTGCAAATAGGTGCAAATGCATCAGTAATGTAACATCCAGTCAACAGCTTGTAATGAGTGTCGGATGAGTGTGCTAGAGGGCGCTGTTACCTCAGCACTGAATCGGTGCTCATAGAGTGAAGGAGTGAAGACTACAGCAGAAGATGAGGGAGAGGAAGGGCGAGAGAGGGGCTACACAGGTGAGGAAGAAGAGAGAAATGCAGCTTCATCAGGAGTGCAGAAATAAAGAAAATGGACTGAGACAACAGGGACACAGGAAGATGATCGTGATGAGAAGACCATGAAGAAGAACAAACTCACCTTCTCAGCGAATCGGTGCGAGCCCACGGTGGAGTAGGCGTCTCCTGAAGGCACTGAATTACTCCTCAGTATCCTGCTCTTCTCACACTGAGACTATAAAAACATACATGTTAATGATTAAACACATTATTAACTTGCATAATGTGACGTACTTCAAAGTGAAACTGAATAATCAATGGTTGATTGTTTGCATTAGGATTTGCTTTTGATGGTAAAACGTTGATATTTTTGAACCGTCACACCCCTAATATACACACAACACACACACTGATTCTGTATCAGAGCTGTCTGTAATAACTCACCTGCTCTTCTATTTTGTCTTGTCGGTCCAGAGCGGCCTCCACGGCATCAAAGAACTCGTCTTCATTGATCAGGCTGTTCGGACCCTCCTGATGGACAGAACCAGATGAACATCTTATTACGCTTTACAGCTCTGCCTTCTGTTTTTAAGTTCTGCAGGCATTAGCGCACGTACAGAAACCGAACCCACCTCGTAATCGGGCCCTCCGAAATGAGACTTCTTCTTCAGCTCACACAGAGCGGATTTATACGCTTCTTCCACCCTCCTCCTCTTCTCCATCTCCTGTAGAAAGCATGAGACTTTAGCTGACCGTAATGTTTAATGTCTTGGCTTGAGTAGATCTGGGCAGAGCGAGAGACTGTATAGGTGCAGGATTGTTGTGAAGCGCTCCATTGTTCTGGATGTAGATGTCAGTGTTGTGCTGAATACTGCTGACACATTCAGCTCAATCTCTGTAACACACGCTCGCCACTTTCACACCCAAACCCATTAAAACTGCTGGATTAACTTTTCTGGCAAAGATACCGCAGCAGTCATTCACAGAAACAACAGCTTTCCATGTTTATAAGCACAGCATCACCAAACCGATGCTCAAACTCTCAGATATGATTTGTTTCATGGAAATTACCAGCACTTGCAGAAGATGCTATAGCAGCAGTGCAGTGATTTAACATGGTAGTAAATATTGGTTCACTATAAAACTACAGTAGTTAAAACAGGAGGGTGAAATGCAGGTCTGAAAATCTGATGATGTTTGCTGCATATATTAATAAAATTAATAGTCCAGTCACATTAGTCACAAAACTTTCTGATTGGCTCAAACTCTGACAGAATACATCTTATATCAGATTAGTCGAGATTGCACCAGTTTTATTTTAGAATTATTTATATAGTATTTATTAATAGTATCTTTTTATTTTCACTTTAATTTAGTTTAAGTTTTAGTATTTTTTAAGGTGCTTATATCATTTTAATTAGTTTTTTATATTTCTATATAGCTTTCATTTATTTTTATTTCAGTTAAAGTAATTACTAGTAATAATTTCAACATTTCATTCTAGTTACAAGTTAGAAGTTAGATAGTTTAAGGAAACATTTATAATTTCAATTTGACACACTAGTCTGCACAAACTAGGCGATTAGCTGCAGCATATTTGATGCTTTGGGCCGGTGCCGATAAGTCATGAGTCATGTGACTTTATTTACTTGCATTTATTTAATGTCAATGGCTGGCATTATTTTTATATGAAAACTTTTAAAAAACAAATACATTTGAAAGGTCACACTGAAACTGAAGCTGACTATTGCTCTGGATGATTAGTTGATTAGTAGGAAGCCCTATAGCATCAATACATAACATTTCTAGCAATCTTACAACTACTGTAGCCGGTGAATTGCCAGGGCTGATGTGCATTGTGAGGAGGTTTCGCTCTGTAATTCAGCGCTCAGCCAGTTGACATATTGCTGTTGTGATTGTGACTCTGACAGATACAACATCCCTCTCCTGATTTCAGTAGCTCAAGGACGAGCTCCAGACATGTCTCGTACCTTATCCAGTCTCTTCTGCCAGCTGTCCTCTCTCTTCACCATCAGGTCGATGCAGTGAGAAAGTGTGGCCAAGATCCCCGCCGTGGTCGCCTTGAACGTGATGGCCTCTCCTTTAAAATCTATCCCATTAATGCCTTTATGACTCAAACACTGGAATACTGATGGGGAGAGAGAACAAATTCAGTTACACTCTTGTCTTTGGAGATTAATCTTAAAGACATTATTTTACTAGACAGTGTCCAAAGCAGGCACAACGTAATAAACATCAATCGAACTTGAGGTGCTGAAAGGCGCTATATCAATAATAATAATACCGGTAATTATTACTACCGTACTATTATTATGAAGCGATAAAACAAAATCCCTTCCATGTTATTCTGAGTTTTTATTCCTAACCACTACCAGTAGTTGCCCAGTTATATTTCCAAGTATTTTAGATCACATTAATATACTGTATGTATTTTGATATATATATATATATATATATATATATATACACACACACACACACACACACACACACAGACATATATTTTTAATAAGTTGTATATTTTATATTAATATATTTTATAGATTGATACATAACATGTATTAATATATTAATATAAAATATATAAATTATTTAAGATGTATTTTTATACATACATACATACATGTATATATAGGCTGTGACTTTGTTGCTTCACAATATTTTGTTTTTAATAAAGACTTGATTGGGACACGTTGCTGATGTGGTGTTATGACCACATATAATTTAGCCGTATCGTTTTTCCACTAAAAAACAAAGCAATGCAGAAATGCATAACTCACTGAAAACATCTCAAACGCAGTTCACCTGGAGAAATGCTGACTTTATGCTATTGATTACGCACAAATCATTACAATAGGCTCAAATTACTGGATCACTGGAGTAAATTAAGTGGACAAACTGCTCAAATTGTCAGTGCCGCCCCAGTACCGTGTCCTCCTCGAGCTGAATCAGAGAGAATTCATTGAGCGTGAAACCTGCTGAATTTTCACAAACGCAGAAATCAGAATGTGCTCACACTCACGTTTCTCCTTGCTGCCATTATTGTTATGCAGGAATTCTCCATCCGAGCGAGTGGTAGGAAAATCATCTTCATCATCCTCCACGACTGAGATGAGAAAACAAACACACACACACACACACAGAGTCAGAGTGAACTCATTGCCCTGTGGTTGGTGGTGCCCAGATCGGCCCATTCACACACTGAGAGTCTACTGTAGACGCATACTGTAGTACAGGGGAAGGACTAGGACAAACAAAAGAGGCAGTTGATCATTTGTGTGAATCAACAGGCCCTTGTGCTGTAACAACAGATGCATCCAGAGAGAGCGAGAGGATCCGCACCAATGCAGAGGAATCTGGATGTTGCCGCAGTCTGACTACGTTTCAGCGTTGTCTAAACATGCCTGTCAGCAGAATCACTCCATTCGGACTCGCATTCACGCTCCGTCTACTCACTCTTGTCCCTCTGGAGCTCGTCTCTGTGAACAGCATCAGCACAGCCGTCGAAGTACTTCTGGAGCGTGTCCACCTGCCTGCACAAGATGTCCCGAAACGTCTCCATCTCAGACAGCTTCTCCCGCAGACTGTGACCCTTCTGTGGGGCACATATGCAAACTTATTTGACTTCAGACTAGGGAGGCATGGCATATTTATCAGTCTATAGCAGTTATGCTTTTTTATTGGCACCGATCAATATTGGACATTTGGTTTGTGTTCTTCTCACCTTAAAGGAGGAGGTGGAGGTGGCCGAGTATCCGCTGGTGGCAGACGTGAGGGAAAGCATTGATCCATGTCTCCTCAAACTGGACTCGGAACCATAACCAGATTCAGCCTAAACACAGACACACAAAGATAATGTGATATTCAGAAGCACTTTCACTTTAGTCCATCTGACAACAGAGTTTGTGTGAAAGCCAGGTTCATCTGCAACCTGGCACCACTTGCAGAATTTGATGACAACAAGCAGGACTATCGACCTAAAAGTGGAGCAGTGAATGCCTTGTGCATTGCAGCTTATCACTGCAGAAGTTACACTACTGTTCAAATACGATTTTTTTTTAAGGAATTAATACTATTATTCACCAAGGATGCATTAAATGTTACAGCAAAGACATTTATAATGTTACAAGATTTCTATTTCAAATAAATGCTGTTCTTTTGACATCGATAATAAATGTTTCTTGAGCAGCAAATCATCATATTAGACTGATTTCTGAAGGATCATGTGACACTGAAGACTGGAGTAATGATGCTGAAAATACAGCTTTGATCACTGTGAATATATTTTTAAAAATTAAATAGATTCCTTAGAAATTGTTCCAATTATTTTAAATGGTAATAATATTTCTGTATTTTTATCAAATAAATGCAGGCTTGATGAGGTGATACTTCTTTCAAAAACATTGAAAGAACAAAAACTTACCAACCCCAAACTTTTGAACAGTAGAGTACATTTAATTTTTGACACCCTCTCCTAATAAGTCATTACCTGTGTGTAGTTGTAAACAGCTGATGCTAATGATGATACTCTGCCTTTGAAACGTACTGTGGTTCAAAACTAAATAAATACATAATCTGAGGAGGAGAGGTGGAATCACGCTCAATCAATATTTAGATCAAACAAGAACTATAATACGAGATTTACACTGATATATTTACACAGCCAACCTCAAATATGACACTTTAAAAACAACATATGTGTGTGTATTAGGGCTGGGTATTGACACAAATTTCACAATTCGAGTCGATTTCGATTCGCAAGCTTGCAATTCGATTCCGATTCGATTCGATATTGATTATTTTGGATATCAGGTACAATACATGGCAAATTTTCTCAAGGAAAACAAATCTCAACTAATGCTGTAAACTATGGGAGTCAGTTGTAGCCTACTAGGCTTCATTAGCCTACTATAATATTGAAGGTAAAAATGAACTGATTTGTAGCTATACAAACACTTAAATTACACTTTTATTTATTTTTATAATAATAAAGTTATATGAAATATAAACATTTAAATGGTGGCTGTAATAAAAACTTGCCAGATTTATTCAAACATGCATTAAATATCGAAGAACATTAAAAATTATAATGAATATGTAATATGGTGCATATATTTAGCAAAATGTTCCTCTTTAGAGGTAATTTTTCTAGCTGACTAACGAGTTTATGGTCTCACATGTTTTTTCTGAGGTAAATGTGACGTTACATGACATTGTTTACAAGCTGTTTTACTGATGTCTTTCCACGGTTGAAACACTGATTGAGCGATTCCATGTGACATGATACGGATTTCGATAAGTTGTACTCTATCTTTTAACACACTTTCAGACGTTCATTCATGTTTATTTCGCGCTGTAACTGGTATTATTAAGGCAGAAGAGGAGATCATGTGCGCTCCGCTATTTATTAATTCAAAACGCTATTTATGTTTTTGAATTTCGTAAGAAAATTGACGTAATTTGAAATTTGAGACTTTATTTAGTATCAATAGTAACAAAGCACAAAGATTATTGCAATTTATTGGATGGGATGAGCGCTACAATGTTCCATTCATTCATCAAATGAAAACAGGATGACTAATTGATTCTTGAGAATCGATATCGGTTCGTAAAAATGAGAATCGATTAATATCGAGAAATCGATATTTTTTACCCAGCCCTAGTGTGTATGATGTGTGCGAGTGGTTGACCTGAACAATTTCCACTTCATCTTCAGGGTTCGTCACTCACAGAAAGCACAGAGAGTCACTTTCCATGAACTCAGATCTCTCCTGTGGCTCATCTCATGAGTAACAGCCTCTTAAAATAGTTTCTGAGTTTTTTTAGTAGCATAAACACACACAATAACTGTCTCCCCATGAGGCTTTGCGCAGAACATGACGGTACAAGCCCAGGTTATTGTATCTTTCCTCCAGATGAACTATTTTGACCTCTGTACCTGACATATGTTAAAAAAACTCAACTAATCTGGTCAATTTGAAAGAGGGGATGATGAAATATGATCTGAAAATCATTTACTTCCCCTCTGACGTTCCGCATACCGAAACCAATTAAAACAAACTAATCCGAGCTCAACACACACACACACACCTTTCCTGTAGATAAGAAATGCCAGTAAACACACACAACTTTACAGTAACAATAATCTATTTTTAAATAGATGTACTGTCAAAGCAGATAAGAGTCAAAACACAGCGTTCAGTAAAAGTAGTACTAGTAGCATTTGAGTTTATTGCCATATCAGCATCACCGGCTACATGGCAGATACATATTAAACATTTAACACCATAATATCATAAGTACAATATAATGAAAACAAACTAAGACAAAAAAAAAGTACATGTACAAATTGAGTACAAATCTATAAAAGATTATTTAAATGTACTTGTGCAAAAAAAATAAAATAATTATGGATCCATAAAGAAGTCCTTAAAAGTTTCAGCCTTCAGTGAGAGCTGATATATAGATTTTTTTTTCTGTTTTATATTGCAGCTATTACTATAAATATTGCTCTCCAAAAAAGCTTAAGAATACAAGTACACTTTTTCATATTCTATGCTTTTAAAATTAGTATGTGAAACAATTAGTGACGCACAATTGGCGATTGAATGATGAACACGCTGTATTATGGGATACTGTATTTCTTGTCATGTGCTCTTGTTGTATACTGCACATTTTGTCCACATTTTGTAGTATAAAGTATGCTACACTGAATATACACACTGTTTTAGTGAGGACTTTAGCATTGTCCACCACTAGATGGCAACAGTGAGCTCAGTCTACGGTTGAGTGGGTTTAATCTGAGGTAACTATCGGGTAGAACCAGAGATAACCGATCAGGGCCAGTCCTGCGTTCACTCCAGCCAACCAAACGCACTCTTACTGTGACTATGACATTGATAATGCCTCCACTGACCATTCAGAAGTCAAGAAGAAGACTGGCCGTGTCTGAGTTACACAATCAATAGCCTCAGCGGCTGGTGCGCAGATGATAAACTTCAGGATGATAACAACCATTACCACCGTATCACAGACCACACACACACCAAATCAATAAACCTAATGATTGCAAAAGACAGCAAGAGAAGGAATTGTAATCAGTGTCATGTTTAATTCAGAAGCAGTTTCATTCAAATATATAGTGCGTGTGTGTGATGTGTGCAGTGTTATTTTAGTATAATATATTTAATATAGTATAGTTAGAATACTATTAGAGTCATTGAGTATGTGTGTTATCAAACTCTGCTGATGCTTTGAAGCCACTGACAAAACAAAACTTCTGAGATATGATTAAATCCAGCAGGTTTTGTAGATCCTCATTTCCAGTAGCTTTTTTGAGAGTGTGGTGTTGACACAATGAGAGTGAAAGGCTTAACACAATACAGCTCTGATTAGATTTACAGATTACGCTCACAATCTGCGACAACAGGCAGATCTGCACAGCACCACCCATACGGGTCTGTGGCACACCCTCCATGTAACTCAAGCCACAGATTTGTTAGTAAAGGTGCAAATAGACTATGTTATGCTCTTGCTATTTCTGGTTCCCACAGAACAGGATTTTTTGAAAGATAATTTAATAGTAATTGCACTCACAAAAGTGCAATTAGCTCATGAAATAATTTAGAGCAGAGCATGTACATGTACATGAATTTTCCAGAACTGTGGAATATATAGCAAGTATACAGAATCAGAATTGATCTAGCGCTTTTGTAGTGAGCAACATGGAATAATATATCCCACAATGCAATGTGGTCCACTTCTTATTTATATTTCTTTTTTCTTTCTTTTTCTCCTTAACTTGTTGAAGTCTAATCAAACAATGAGATAAGACACTTCAATATAAATATGGATAAAGAAATGCTAAAAATACTTTCATTAAATCAAGTTTTGTGGCCAGGTAGTACATGTGTGTTAGAATTTTTAGATTCACATTTAGCAGTTATTTATTTAAAATGAACAGTCTTACTCTTCAGGAACTAGACAACAAATATTGATGACTCATCCTGCACTACATAGATTTTTGTCCAATCAAATGCTCTGTAGAAAAAGAATGCCCCTCCCAACTGCACCCAACAAGCACACAGCAAATCACTGTTGCGACAACTAATCCCTATAGGCTATTTTTCTTAAAGAATGTATCCCACCCAAACTTCCTGTTTCTAAAACAAATATGTCAATATAGGAAATACAAATCCACTTGTCAAGGGATTTAATCGACTCTGAACTAAAAACACGAATTACTCAGCTGATAAGCAGGCTATTCTCTTTGTACCCCTAATGAGAAGCGATAGATGGGTGAAAGTGTCCTTGGGAGGAATTTCAGCAGTGATTCAGAACGAAAGTCCTCTTCCAAGAAGAGCTGTGTGTGTGTGTGAGTCACTATCAGAGAGGGGTCATCCTCAAGGCAAGGGAAGGATGAATGGACGGGGAAGTAAGTATGTGTGTGTGTGTGTGTGTGTGTGTGTGTGTGTGTGTGTGTGTGTGTGTGTGTGTGTGTGTGTGTGTGTGTGTGTGTGTGTGAAAGTGACCCTCCCCCTCCAGGCAGCAAAAATCAGAAGCACGTGTGGATCAGGGTGTGTCCTCGAGATACGAACACTTGTGCAAACTCAGCAGACTTTGAAAGAGGCAGACC